CTGTAAAAATTCAATACTGATGGAAAATATAATTTAAAAATATCTATTCCATCATAAAATTTCAATATACATAACATTTTTAGTTTTATTCCCAGAAGAAATTAAAACAATCTGATGATGTAAATCACGAGTTCTTGAAAGCTCGACATGCAATTGTAGATATATCAAGCAGTTTGATCTCAAATCTACACCTACAAAAATGTAAGTCTGTCCTTGTGACTTGTTAATCATCATGGCAAAAGAAACTTCGACCAAAAACTGTAAACGCTTGAACTGAAACAGTAAATCAGTGAAAATCATCCTAATTCTAGAAATAAAAGCTATTTTTCCTCATGCTGGACCTGTTAAAATAGAAGCTTCTATAACATTATTTCACAAAGTTTTGATTTGAAGTCAAGTCCTGTTACGCAGCTTTAGGAGTTGAATATTACGTAGTAGCGTAATAAGAAATATAACTTTCCAACTTAACTTATGGAGTGGAAATCCTGAAGGAGTTAGAGAGTTTTAAAATTCTTGAGGATAATTAATAACATCTTTAGTTGCGATGACTAAATCAATAGAGAGGTACTCTCGATAATCAGCTACAAACTTTTGAAGAATATTGTTGTTAATTTCTTCTGCTGCTGAATTTCTCAGTAAAATTATCGCTCTCTCACATAATTAATGGTACCATTTATTAGCAAAATTTTCAATATCCCGGTAAACTTCAGAAATTAAATCATCGAAAGTTCTAACCAATTTCCCAATTGATTGTTCTGCAGTGATTAAATCATTTTCGTTTTCTGTCGTACCATTGCCAATTTTTAACAACTGTGTTGGAAATTCTGTGTTTTATCTACTGAGATGTGCTCTCATATTAGTACGCAAACGAAGAGACTCCACATAATGCCAGAGAAATGATGATTTTAAATAGGCATGAATGACATCAGCTCTAGTTCCTCTTGGAATTACTGGTAATGTCAGCCTGAAATCACCAGCAAAAACGAATGTAATGCCACCCATTAATTTCTGGTTTGATCTTATATCTTGTAATGCCCTATTAATTGCTTCAGTATGAGCTTTCTGGTTTATTGTACACTCATCCCTTTCGATAAATATTGTATCTTGAAGAATTTTTCCTAGAGGTTCATTTTTGCGTATTGAGCACGTATAATTTTCTCTAGAAAAAATACATAATGGAAGTTTAGAAGTGAAGTGAGCTGTTCTACTTTCACTCAAGAGAGTAGCAGCAACGCTAGAAGATGCGACAGCAAGGAACCGTTTTCCAGCTGATGTTGCTTGGGCCAACATAAAATTGATTAGGGATGTTTTTCCAGTGCCTCCAAGAGTATCCAAGAAAAAGATTTTTCCATTATTATGCAAAACACTATCAATTATACAATCAAAAGCTTGTCGTTGAACTGGAACCAACTTCGGAAGATTTTTCTCAACGAAATAATTTAAATAGTTATAATCGTAACTACATCTAACGGAATGCTCAAGAGGATTATAAGTACTATGTTCACCTCGAACTGGTGAATTTAGCCCAAATTCAGCTAAATTTTTTTTGAAACAAAGATGACCTTGTTTTCAATTTCAATTAAACCTCTGCTAAATATTTCTTCAGAGAACTCAAGTTCAAAATCGTCAGATTGAATTCTTCGAGAGTGAAGAATATCTTCGCATAATTGTTATATAAACATATTTTACAAAACTTGAGGTTGCGATGGCTCACAAAAAACTCAATTAATTGCCAATAAGTCACGTAATTTAGATTAATTTTCAGACAAAGCCTCATCTGCGAGTGTTTTTTTCCATTGATCGTGATTTTCCAATAAACCAAGTGCGTAGTGGGCAGCTTTGAAAGTTGCGCAAGTAACACCATCAACGGTTTTCAAGTACTCAAATAAAGTTAGGCCTCGAACATATTGTAGTAACATTCGAAGATGGAAGCACTCCGATTTATTCTTTTCACAATTTATTATTGTCCCATTAGTAATAGGTGGCAACTTCGGAACACAAAAGAGTTATTTAGGAAAATCATTCATTACGCAAAGTTCAAAAAACGCAATCAACGTTGTTTTTCTCGAGTTTATGAGAATTTGTTGAATGTTTTGCCGATTGATGTAAACTTTAAAATGATTGTCAAGGTGGACATCTAAATACAAGACTGTAGGATACCGTGCGTGAATCTTTATCACAAATTGTAACTATGAAACTATGATCTCTATCTGCAGGAGATCTTCTACGATAGGTAGGATAACCATCATCTGCAGTTTAAGTTTCTTGTAAAAAATTTCGAGAATACTGTTTAGTACATCTTCCGTTATCCATGGTGAAGTCATGTTGAATTCGCCGCAAGGCCAATGAATCATACTTTTTGAAATAATGTTAAACAGCAAGAGATCTTGTTGAGGATTTAGTAATTCAGCTAAAATTATATTGTCTTTTTTATCTGGCTGAATTTTTGTTTTTAGCCATAAAAGTATGTGCAAGTGAGGTAGGCCTCATTTTTGCCATTCGACACTGTAGATCCAAGCATTAACTTTTCCGTTTATTGCTTTCTTAGTGAGAACATCTATAAGCTTTCTTAGTTTCAAGTAAAAAACTCTTGAAACAATATCATGTCTGCCTGAAAGTTTTTGATTATTGTGTAATTCGTTTTTTCTTTCCGACCACTCAGGGTTGCATGTGAAGGTAATGAATAAACATGGACGTCCAAACGCACGTACGGACGTCATTGCATCTTGAGTTTATTCATGCATGTATCGTGGCGAGCCACTAAATGAAGAAGGAAAATAAATGGCTGCCCAATACTGGTGAGTTCAATGTTACTATCAATATTGACTGGATCTCGTAAATAAATGTAATTTTCGGCACACAGTTGTTTTTGATGTGTTCGCAAGTAGAGCAAACGCTCTGTGATAATTTCTGCCATCATATCAACCACAAATTGATTTAGTTAGTTCTTATAATATAGCAGATAGTTCGTACTGTCAATTCACAACATAAATCTGTAAGAGTAGAATTACATGCATGCATGGTAGAGTTCAGAAACTTGCTCCAACCGCCCGTGTCGACCATGTAGAACAATATCTCTGGGACCTTTTTCTTCATGAACTATGAGTGAAGCAACGTCATTAACCCTCGGTGCGTTGTATTGTACCCGATGTTCACCAACAGGAGTACAGTCAGCATGAATAATCAATCTTAAGTTTTCAAGTTCATCGACTGTTCAAGATTTATAATTAAAGTTCTTGTAAGGAGATTGAAATCATGCATAATTTTTTGCAATGATTCTATCAAAGTTTTTTTAAGAGTATTGTCAGACCAAATGGAAATTTTTTCTGCTTGAGACATGAAATAAATTTGCAGGCGGTGCGGAATTTTGTCCTTTTCAGGAACTAAGCTGCCAATCGAGTGGTACACTTGACCTTGAATCTTGAAAGTTGGCATTAATATTATTTTGCCACTAAAAAAAGTCATTTGGAATTGGGTATTATAACGTCTAATATTGTCAACAAAATGCTTTGACACAGGATGTTAATGCATCAACAAACACTTTACCAATTCAGAAGGGCTTTCCAACGCATCAGGAGTAACTTTACCACCAGAACAACTAAGTCCTGGGACCTCATCTCTCCATTTTTAGTATCACAATGAGAACAAATATATACCATTCCAGCTATTTGAATTTCTAAAAGATTTAAGTAACCAATATCAGGGTTATAATAAAAAGCTGATGTGTCACTTATATAAACATTAATTCATCGATTTTGATGCCGCTGTTTCAATCTCAATAATGTTATGCGTCAGTTTCTCGACGCCTGAAATTGTAAACGTTTGAAGAATTTGGAGTTCTCCTTCCTACTCGCCCTCTTGCAATTCTAGACACTGTTAAAAAATGTTAACATTAGATGGCCCTTAAAGGGAGCGGTCAGCAAGACTTAGTTAGCTGAGCGCAGACTAGAGGACCAATAAATCCTGGTTAAATGCTAACAGTCAAGAGAATGATGCAAGGTTATCGGTGGCCGGGATTCCTAGCCTCACAACGAACAGCTCCACTCTCGATGTCTGTCAGTGAATAACTGACTTGGTTAAACGTTGGCTGGCTTTATATAGCCCTACCATTAAAGTACAAACCATTGTAAGTCTTTTAAAGGTTTTTCTCTCAATTAATAAAAAAAAAAGATTTATTGGCGAAGTAGTTTAATGTTAGATGGTCCTAAAAAGGACAGGTCAGTAAGACTCAGTAAGCTGAGCGTAGACTGGAGGATCAGTACTTCCTGGTTGAATACTTGTAGTCAAGAGAACGATGCAAGGTTGTCGTTGGCCTAGATTTCCATCCTCACAACGAACAGCTCCACTCTCGACGTTTGTCAGTGAATGATTGACTTGATTCAATGTCAGCTGGACTTTATATAGTGGACAAATTATTGACTCACATCGCTTCAAGGTTTTAATCTGAAATAGTTCTTAAAAATATTGTTGGCAAAGTAGTTCAACGTTGGGATTAATGATTACGTAGTAAACGTTAATATAACTGATAGCCCTGACAAGGGCCGGTAGTTATATTTTCGGTTATATTCAGTCATTGATAGGTGGCTGGAGGTCAATGATATGACACACTAGATCTGGCGTTCTGTAAGCGGCACATATCTGCCATTTGACTTGGCTCAACCAACGGGGATCGCATATCTCGGGTATCCGGACCCGCGATAGCTTGACTCTTGACCTCGGAGTCTCTGCATATGGAGAGCGTACTGGAGGAAGGTACGCCACTGGCTGAAGAATACCTCGTCTTTGAGTTGTTCTCTGTATTACCAATAGCTCACTGTTAGTAAGAGAAATGAGCCTGGAAAATACCTCTTCTGTGCGTATGCTGTTAGGACGAACCACTGAAGAAGAGGCCGATCTTTTCAGCCAATGTGGCTGCCCACATCCCTCAGAGCTGTCTTCCCTAGCTCGCTGTTATAGTAAAAAATTCTCTGATGACACCAGGCTGGATAGTTAAACGGCCTCTAAACCCTGAAGTGTTGGAGCGGGTTGTACTCTGGCCGGACGTGTCCTGGTATTACGCCGGAGACGTTGCCGTTCAGAACGCCTATTTTTTCAAGGCATTCGATGACCTTGCTGGTTCAGGGTGGAATTAGACGAAGATCACTGATCCATTGGAGAAGAGTATCGTTGGTAGCTGGAATACCCAGATGCACGACTAACAACCGTATTCTTGACGTACTACCGGTGAACGACTATGATAATCGTGGAGAAGCTCCGGCCTATGATAACCACACTTATTTAATTCTATTTCAGATAGCTTCAATTTAATATCAATGCCACCTAGCAAAACCTACTGAACTAATGTGAAAAGCTAGCGTATTTTTTCAAAACTTTAAGCTTACTTATTGCTGTTATTATTTTTTTGAGATAAAAAATATACTAAAACCATCTAAGAAGTGTAAAGAATTAGTATGCGAAATTTCAGCAGGATCAGTTGTGTAATTTTCGCGCTTAGCGATTACATCGGTTTTAGCGACTTTGTTTTATAAAAAAGTAAGATAAATAGTGTTTCACTCATATTTTTAAGCTCATTTATCGTTACGCACATGAAAAGTGATGATCATTTATCATCGCGAAAGGCTATAGAGCTATAAACACACTTATCAACAAACTGCCTGTAGAACTGCACGTACCAGGATGGCAATTTTACGGACTGGATACTAAATTAGGCAAGAGATTAGCTCGCGGAGATCCAAGTATTAACCCATGAAATTAGACTTGTAAAAAACAGTAAATAGAATTAGAATGAAATGGAAAAGAACAAGAAATCTCTTTAAAAAGCTTGCTTCGGAATGAATCGAAGTCTATCGTTTTAAGTAGTTGTGCTCGGAAATTTATAAGTTTGGTATATGAGTGAGCGCAGGAGGCTATAAAAAAAGCTAGTTGCAAGAAAAACATTGTAATTTTTCGAGTATTTCTTATACCACTAAGAATTGGTAAATTTTTACCGTATTTTATTTTTGCAATTGCTGGCTTAAGTGCTTCAGGTGCTTTTACTTATGATGTAATTAGAGTTGTCGAGGCTATTAACGATGCTAAAGTCGCTCAAAAATAGCTAGAGGAGAGTAATAGGCATTTTAAAGAAATAAAAGCACTTTTACCTAAAAAAGGGCTTTTTTTAAAACCGTTTAAGAACGTTTAAGGTCCATGTATAAGGCGTGGAAGAAGCTGAAACAATTTTTTAAAAAAATTTTCTGTGCAAAACTGTCTACCAAGCTCTCACAGATCATAACCTGATCAAATTTGCTCAAGTTTTGAAAGTTTAGCCATCTGTTGGAAAAAATACGACATAACTTAAATGGTATAGAAGTCGACAAATATTAAATAGTTGGATTAACAAGTTTCATAAAAAAAAAAAAAAAATTGTCTCTCCTAGTCACAGTTTAATGCTTGAAAATGCTAGTTAGATTAACATTGAAGACAAAATATCTATTATCAATGATCATTTTAGTTTGTAAGTGTTAATACCTTTACGTATGATTTTGCTGAAGATTATTGCAAAATTGTGGTCAATGCAAAACATAAATTAATTCATACCAGATCAAGCAATTACGTTGATGCAATGATATAAGTACCTAACAATCAAAATTTTGAAAAGTACAAGCTGACATTGACTTAGATTGAGTGGTTTGTGACTCATATAACTAAATTAGACAGACAAGAAATTCGTTTGCTCGATATTACTGTAAAAAACATGCCGCTTTCTATGAGTTCTTGCAACTGGAAGTTGTATAAAAATCCTCTATTACTAAAAACTTCTAGGTATGTTTAAACAGTCAAAACATCTAATCAGTTGGCAAAATCTCGTTACATTATTTTGGCCTTTCAGAAAAAAACAAAAAAATAAGCCTACTTCTAATGTCAGTCTCTTCGATTATTATTATGTGAGTAATGTAAAATTTTTTTTAACCCACACTAATATTTTCATGAAAATGTTAGTCTTGATATTCATAAGCATTAGTTTTCAATATTATACAATATGTATAAGAATTTTTAAGCAAAAGAACCGAAACCAATGCTGAATACATCAGATTTTTACATGATCGTATCACAGAGTACAATCCTATCAGTAGTGACGTAAGAAAAGTTATTTAATCACGTCCATGGAATTGCAAAATATTCGAGTCTTCAACATAATGGAGTACGTGGTGAATATCCAGGGCTTTAAAAACATGGCAATAATTATGTGCTTGAAGAGTTGGCGATGCTTTTACTTCATGGAGATGATGAGCCACTAGTATTCTTCTTTTAGCCACCAAATCCTTGCGTAGACTAAATGATAAATATAAACGCGTAAATGTGTTTTCAGCTGACCTATCATGAATAATATATACACTAAGGTGATATTAACTATACAGAAATTGATAATGTGCTTCATGAAAATCTTAAAGATGCTTAAAAAATTTTTGTAATTCGAGAACTGAAAAAAGTGGCTTGAAAGCTTTAATTTTCAAGTTATTAATATGACTGATTATACACCATTTGAGCTCCCAACATTGGCTACTGCATGCCCCCGCTATTATGCTACATATAGAACTTGACAGTCGCACCTTCGAGGACTCGGGAGTAATGAAAAAATCACCTTAAAGAAATGAATTGAATTTTACGTTATTATCATTATTCGAGTAAGCTTTTCTCATACTATCCTAACGATTGAGACCTAATAATCAATTGTTATTATCCACAGAGGATTTTTTAAGATAATTAATTAATATATGGCACATAATTCATAGTGAACAGCTATTTATCATATCAACAGTTTTAACTCATTCCAAATCGTAGGACGTTTGGAGATCATAATATCACTGTATCTTCTTTACTGCAAATAGAGACGTAAAGGGGAGAGAGTGCAGCACGACAGCCAGAGTATTGAGACCGATCTGGAGCCGCTTTGATAGAGAGCATAACACATCCAGCACAAGAGCCACACTACAACACTATTAGGTATGCCTGTGATTCCACAGCCCCCTACGACTACGAGATCAATATATAAGTTAGATAGCTCCGTATCTCTATAGAGCCAGGTGATCCCATATTCTCTTAGCTATAGTACATCAATCTTTGATTACAATATAATCCCCATAACAGCTTTTATTTCCACACCTTAATTCTAATTTTAGTGAAATGATCAAAATAATTAAATACATTTCTGACACTCTCTTTCCTGTAGTTACTCGTCCTAAAACTATGTTTTGATTTTGTGGATGTACACATCTAACTATAATAAAACTTTCTCGTATTTTGCGACGGTGAAAAAATAGTTTTCTGTTTTATTGTTTCTGTTAAAATTGTTGTTAAAAGTACTCATTAACTTTTATTCTTTGTGATAAGATTTATTCAATATAAACCTTTTTAAAACTATTTTAAAAGGTGTAAGAAATAGTTTTATTGTCTACTCCTGCAATAACTTGGAAAAAAGTAACTTTTTGAAATACTTTGTACGAACATTAATTAAATGGAACATTATTTGCACAGCAATGTTTGCACTCCAATTTTTTGGTTGCCACCATCGGTATAGTTATTTTCATGAAAAAAAGTACTTTGCAGAAGAAGCTTAAAGGTTATTCCTCCAAGCATAAGTATGAAAACTTGAAGCTGTTTAAAAGTTACAGAAAATACCCCCCAGTAAGGAAATAACATTCTAATAATACTCTGAAAAACAATGTATATTTCAAAATATCAGTTATATGTTGTACTTACCTCGAACGCAAATTCGATTTCATCTTCAGTTAACATGATAATATCATCATCTATTGCAAAAATTGCTTCAGTTTCTATGTCATCAAAAGGATAAAAACGATTGGATAACAAATTTTCATCCGTTAAAATAACTTTCACTGTCTTATGAGTTTTAGGCCACCTTGAAACTAAAAATTTTGATGAAGTATTGAATAATATCTTATATTTTATATTTCTTTGGCTACTTACTTCTTGGAGGACTTTTGTATTTATTGTTCCAAATAACAACAATTTTTGTAAGACTTTTTACTCTTGACAGTTTGTTAATAAGTAAAAATAGTAAATCTAATCTATCATAAGTAAGAATAACAGCTGTAAATCCTTCTGTTCTTGAAATAGTTAACGGAATGAGTACTGGAGACACGATTTCCTAGAAATATTAATTTTTTTAGAGCATTTATAAGTTAAAAGCAAACGTGATAAAAAAAATCAGGTTCTGTAAGAAAAAAGCTGGACTAAATATATTGTAATGCATTATTGTAAGCTAAAATTCTTAGAAACAACATCATATGAACATCCTCTTTAATAATAGAACAATTTGAAATAGAAGACTATTAATTATATAATTATTAATTTATCTTGATAATCAATTTTTTTCCTACAAGTAAACTTTTTTCAGCCATATGTTAACCTGTTTTGTTGACTTATCTTTCACAATAATGTATAGTGTAATCAAGCTTACGTAATATTATTGCCTTAAGCTTAACAGGAATTCTACATTCACATTAACTAAGAAGTTATATTCAAGAATTAGATTGTATCATTGATATGTAAGTTTTTTTAGACCTAAATATTTATTAATTAATCACTTCTTGCATTTATACAAGATAAATAACTGTGACGAGGATTTTTCTAACCGATCAACAGCCGTCCCGGATCCCCTCACAAAACTCTCACTCAATTTCTTACCCTATCCCTACACTCTGGATATCTCTCCTCCGGGAGGTCTGCCACAGGTGTCTGGCTCGGGAACACCAAACACTCCTGAAAGGAAAATAGAAGGGGGCAAATGGGGGCACTACTTCTTAATAAACACTCGCGGATATAAATTCTCACAGTGCTCTCGCGCTATTTATTCGCCTTAAGGCACACTCTCCACAACTTCGCGTCTGTCTCTCTCTCTCTCCCTTTACATATATTTCTATACTGGCACACTATTCTTGCGGTAAATATCTTCGTGCTGTCACCTCAGGTCGTCCTCTTCGCCAAACTTCTCCCTGGCTCGACTGTTGGTGGCCAGCACCTAGGCTACACACACACACACACATACACAACCTCAAGCATACTTCCGCTCAATTCTATCTTTCCTATCCCTATATAAATCCTACACCCATTTATCCTGACTCACTCGGATCGTCCCCAAACCTTTACCTCGAAATAACACCTAGTGCACCATCCTCCGTAAAGTGACCTTCTTTCTGTCCTCGCCGTCACCCAGTGCTACATTGAGTTCGTCTCAATCGTCGTGTAGACTCGGCGGCACGGTTAACTCTCGGGCAGATTGTTCGGTGTTCTCCTATGCTCTCTTTTTGGATCCCTTTCCTCACTCTCTGCACTACCTGTCACTTCTTCCTTTATCCAATCACTCTCTCTTTCCTATCTGCTCTCTATGCCGCTCCACGCAATACTGACTGCGTTATGGCAGTACACTTCAACAGATGCGCGCGCCCCTCCCGTGTATCCAAAAAATCTCCAACACGCCTAAAAACCGGTAAATTATTAGAGGTTTCAAGAACTAGGGAATCGACGTGGCCGCTCGGTGCTCACACCTCTCCGACGTGTCGCGAGCCCTCGCCTTTCTCCTTCTCTATCTTACACACATGCTCACCCAATCATACCTCACACACTTTCAATCCCTTTTATGGTCTTCGGTCCTTCTCTCTCCTTTGGCTCGTAGTCCGCGGCACCAAGAACACACATTAAATAATGTGTTATAGATGTACATATAGAAAATATATATGTTATTCTAGGACTCGGTAGCCACCGATGACTTGCTCCGAAATATAGGTATACAGTGACGTGATAGCTTCAGCTACCACATCACATAACGTTTTACACAAATTTCCGTGTTAATCATAAAAACAATAGTGAAAGACTTTCTAATGGTAGAATTTTTATTCAACTTATTTTAAAAATTCAACGAAAATATTCCTTCTCGAAATATTTGTGGATTAACGTCTTAAAATCGTATTCTAGTACTCATTTTATAAAGAAAGGATAATATGAGATTGGCATGTGCGTACACGAAGAGGATTAAGCGCAAACGTCTAGTTTCATCGATTGAGAAACACGCTTGTCGTGCAAATTGAGTTGTATATTCAGCTGTAGAAAAAAACACTAGCCTTAGTTCTTAGTTAAAGTTTGGTTTTTTCTCTTTGTTATCGCCAATTCAATTATTATCGTGTCACGATTCTTCCTCGCAGTTGCAACTAAATTCATTGTACAAATGTTTGTTTCAACAAATAAGTTGCTTTCTTTTTAGAATAATAACTCAAATGTTGTTTCATTTCGTTATTATTACCTGCAGAATATTATATGAAGTTTTGTTAAATTTTCAAGACGTCGATGTGAAAGAAAAGGGAATATACATGTATTTGCAAAGGTATTCAAGGCTAGATTAGCTTTAGAGTCTCTGCTGATCGAGCGAATCATAGCAATATTAACATTTGGTAGCAGAGCAAAGTTTTGAGGAATTTCAGAAAATAAAATTCCCATTTTTATTCTATTTCTGTCTCTTTCAAAACAACGCACTCATACACTTGCATTTGTCCACTGGACGTTGCATAAAAGGAAGAAAAGAGAGCACAAGTTATCGGTTTCCTCTTTCTGTGGATTTTTGCATTTCGCGCCCACACAGCCGAGCTCATTGTCTTCTTCAGATTGTGTGTCCTTGGCTGTAAGTTATAGAGTCTGCAGGGAGGAAAGGTATCTTCGGTGAGGTATGCACAATGCTTTATTTATGTTTTTCTCTCTTTTTCTTACTCTTCACTGCTGTTCTTTTCAAGCTTGTATACATCTCGATACGTTCGACTTTTGACTTGTAAATACTGCAAATAGATTACATCAATTATTAACTTTGTAACCTTATTTGAAGCTAGTTTTGGTATTTCTTATCACTTTCGTGATGGATAAGATATTCAAGGGTCAGTTTAAATTATGTTTCAGGATTACAAATTTTTACGTGAATTCTACTAGTAAGGTCAAGATTAAAAGTGAGACACAACATCATTTGGAAATGCGATTAAATATCCTAATTAATTATTGGAAAACGCTTACTAGTTGTCATGATGATCTCTCGAAGTATGAGGATAAGCTCAAGAACGAGGGTTATTTCAAAAATGATGTTTGTACTTTTATCGTGACTGTTAATTTAGAAGCTAGATCACTGATAGTCGGTAAAATCGAGGATCTTAAAGCAAATTTACTACTATCGTTAAATCCCCTACCTATTGGTAATTCAACCGCAGAAGTTCAAATAACCCTACCTTCTTTACATCTTCCAACCTTTTCTGATAAGCAGTTTTCCTCGCTTGTTAAGGATAAGGCAAATATTTCTAACGTTGCAAAGTTGTAACACCTTATGAGCACTTTATCAGGTTCAGCCACGCAGCGCCTGAAGGAATTAGAACTGACCAACGCGAACGTTCAAATCTTATGGGATAAGTTGATAAGGCGGTATGATAATGTTCGAATTCACCTGTTTAACAGTATTGAAAATCTCATTCAAGTACGGCTGCTAAAAAAACGTAAACGTCCCTAAACGTAGTGTTCTACATTGATTTAGTCCTTTCTTGGTCGAACAGGGGCTACTACAAGTCGGAGGACGACTTGACCGTTCGTCATTATTGAAATATGATAAAGTAATTGTATCAACGGAGGCAGGTGACTCTCGCAACGAAGCAAACTTATACCTCTAACATAGCGCCTAGAAAGGGCTCACGATAACACATACATTAAGTCTATCTAGTTTCAGGTATAGTTCTAGCCCGTTGTGCCTGTACGCACTAGTATGGTCGTGTGCGTGGCCCCCTTCTTTCAACGATTTTTACTGAGACAAGAGCTTGAGTTCACGTCGAGCTCTCGCCTCTACTCACTCCTCGGTTAACAGAAGGCCAGCGCGAATCCTCTGAAGCACAGCCAGCTGCGCCAAAGTCAGCAACTTTCTCGTAGCAACGAGTATTTATCGTTTCAAGGGCTTTTTGCAGCCATCTATCTCGCCTCGTCTGAGATCACTTATATCTTTCCTGCCTTGCAGAAAGTTTTCAAATATCGTTTCAATCATATTTTTTCTTGATTGAGCAATACGCTCGTCAAAGAAATCGACTTGTATATTCAGCTATACAAGAAAACTCTGGCCTTAATTCATAGTTGAAGTTTGATTTTTTCTCTTTGCTATCGCCAATTGAATTTGTATCCTGTCACGATTCTTTCACGCGTTTGCGACTCAATTCATTTAACAAATTTTTATTTGAATAAATAAGTTGTTCTGTATCTCAGAGTTATAGTTCGAATAGTGTTTAATTTCATAATTATTACCTGCAGAATATTATATGAAGTTTTGTTGAATTTCCAAGACGTCGATGTACGACAAGAAAAGGGAGTATACATGTATTTGCAAAGGTGATTCATGGCTTGATTAGCTTTAGAGTCTCTACTAATTGAGCGAATCATAGCAAATATTGACAAATAGTTAACGTCGATTCGGTCTGGTCAATCTGATTAGAACCTTTCTTCATCTATTATCACTTCCGGCTTGGTCACGCCCTCCTACACTGATTTTGTCAAAAAACACACATACATCGAAAATAATCAATAAAAGTGCTTACATCTCCAGTAAAAAGAGCCAGGCATCGTTTCGATACCATAAGCCGAAAAAAGTATAACAAAATTAATCTTTATGTGTGGTTACGGTAGTTAACACTTGTGATGCGGCATCAAACTCTATTTGTTGATACGCTTTGTTTGAATCTAATTATGACGGTAGTGCATGACCTTGTACGGTCGCTAGAACATCTAATTGTGCCAAGCTGTCCTGTTACAACATCACACTCTGTGTAAATTAAAAAATTTAATCGTAACATTCTCAACATTTAAGTTCACAGTAAGTAAATTGATATGACTATTAATACTCTTTCTAAATTTGATGTTGTTACTATCTATTTTACACATGCAAGCCAACTGTTTCGTTTGGTTACATATACGACGCAAATACCCACAGAATCTTCAATTCAACACTATACGGTTTGTGTATCATCAAGAAAAATACTCGATGCCTGATTCTGGTTAGTTTTTCTCACTGGAACTTTACTTCTCTTCTGACCCTTGTCATTTTGAATCTCTTTGGTCTTTGTTAGATTACTTCTGCGTCTT